ATATATGTTTATTAAATAAAGTCTAATGTTACAACTAATAGGGGATCCCTTTAACACACAGACTAAGGACACAGGAAGAGCAATACCAGGACAAGTGGGAAAAATGGACAAACTTCACATCAGTACAGGTCTAGTTTTGGATATGAAAGGTCTCATAGTGTTATTGAATAAAAATCTCCCCCWAGTGTGCAGTTTGTTTATTAATGATTGTTTTGTTTTTTCCTTTTTCTTATAGGTTTTGTATATTGTTTGTTTTTTTTTCCCCTTTTTTTGATTGTATTCAAAAATAACAATAAAACTTAAGCTAAAAAATAAAATGATAATCCTCGGGTTATACCGAAATTTTGTTTCAATGGCTTTTTTTACACCTTTAAGCCCAACAGTATACAACCATCATAGTTCTGCCACTCATGCAGTTAATRGAGGGAAAAGCTCGAATGGTGCCGCCGGCAGTAAGGATGTAGGAAGTGTTCTGTCATGTAACCATTGTTTTGTTTTTGTGTTTCCATCAGCCCAGTAAACAGATGGGTCGCTCTTTGAAGAAGCGAGCTCAGGATTTCCTCCTCAGGTGGAGCTTCTTCGGTGCCAGAGTGATGCACAACCTGACGCTCAACAACGCCTCCAGCTTCGGTCAGTAAATATCAAAACCATCTACGAGGGTTTTTAATGCTTGATGTGTAGAAGAGAGAGAAACCATCCAATATTGAAGAGGATAAAAATGTAAAATACAGACAAAAGTCACTAAAACTCTAATAAACATGTTCTTATCAAAAAACGTCACCATTTTACGATAAGAATACCTTTATAAGAGATTTATTATTGCTTTAAAAATTAATTATCAACACTTTGAATGATGCTCATTACTTTAATTCATGCAGAATTTTTTGGTTTAAAAATCCATAAAGTTTTTTTTTTTAAAATCCCCCACACGTAGAAAAGAGCAGCCTGAGCAGATTGCTACAATAACATCATAAATTGTGATGGCCAGACTTGCTTTGATTACACAGGGTCTTATCTGTGGTCTGTGCACTCTCTGTGCAAACAGCACACACACAGCCTATGTGTGCATGAATAAACAATGACCATTTGGTGGGGTGCACTTTCCTCCACGTCCGACCCAAGCTCAAACACAAACCCGCGGCCCAGCAGGTCAAACAAGGAGCAGCTCGGGCCTAAAGGTCAAACAGACGGCTGGAATCTGTGTGTTTGCAGTTCGACTCATCAGAAACGATACAAACACTCCTCTGGACGTCTCTGATTCTCGCAGGTTCTTTCCACCTGATCAGGATGTTGTTGGACGAGTACGTCCTGCTGGCTCTGGAGACCCAGTTCAACAACGACAAGGAGCAGGACCTGCAGAACCTGCTGGACCGATACATGAAAAACTCAGGTACCAAACATCACAATACTGACACAAAACTCCTGAAAGTTACCTTACAGCTGTCCTTTCCTGCCTACTGCTCCACCTGCATTTATGAAGTGTACCAGATGTTGGCTGTGTCTCAATTCATGGGCTGGGTCCTCATGAAAATATTAAGACTTTATTCTCATAATATTATGACTTTATTCTCATAATATTATGACTTTATTCTCATAATATTATGACT